CAAAGCTTGAATTACGGAGAAGAGAATGTTTGATACTTGTCAACATAAGTATGTTCTGTAATCGTTGCAAAAATCTATTAGCAAAGACATATCTGCAAAATCCGTTTGAATATTGCTGCATTGCTAGTGAGACTAGCACAAACAATTACCAAGGTATATAGGAATAAAACACCGTGATTTTTGTTTCCAAGAAAGAAAATTATTGTTATTTTACTTGCATGCACTACAATATGTAGTATCCTTATTATTTTATTGCACCAAGCTGGGGGACTTCCTACAATTGACTAAAGGTGCACTTTTTTTCAGGCTGGAGGTATTATAAGACTTTTAAGTCTTATAATAAATTTTTTAATGTAACACATCCCTGTCCTGTTAAAACAGGACAGGGATTTCAAACATTAATAATTTTGATTATTTATCCGAGAAATAAGATATAGTGGGCCACATTAGGTTTGTGAAAGGGGTTTCAGGCCAGAAGCTACACGTATATGAAAGGAAAGCCTTTCCTGTTAAAAACACTGTAAAATGGATAGGTCTTTGACCTTGGGCCAGGGCAGTGCTTTCAGTAAGATTTCAAGTAGTTGTCTCCGTTTTGTTAGCACCCGCAGGAGCTGATAAGCTCGGAGACACAATTTCCAGTGATGTGAGGCAAAATATTAACACCCAAGCATTCATTATCTTTATCAGAAAAAAGCATTTTATTGTATAGTTCAAGGCAGTCTCATGTATATTATACACTATTTTTAGTTGTGTATGTACTACTGACATAAAGGTATGCCTTACTAAAAGCTAATAGAATGTTACATGTCACACTGTCTGTTTGTTAGAGAACTCAAGAAATACTACATTAAAACCTTATGTGGTTGCCTTCATGTTCATGCAAAAGAACTACACGTCTTCAGCTTTTTCAATATATACTAAGCAGACAGAAACGACAGCATAAGCTGCTCTGCTGTATCGTGGAATTGACGATCTATGATCTAACCCTAACCCTTACCCTAACCCTTTATGGCTTGGGCAAGTGAAGTTGTAATTTTCTCTGCTTTGTTCAGATTTGAAATGGAAAGAAAGACATTGTTCGTGGTACCCAAGGTTGCATGAAGGGAAGTAGCATCTAATCCAATTTGTCTTTTTAGGAGCCTTACAGTCAAACCAAGTGAAGCGTACCCCTCAAGATTACGTTAATGAATTGATTATTTGAATAT